GGGGGGGCGGGCGGGCGGATAAAGGTGACCGGAATATACCGATTTCTCAACACTTGTATTCAGAAGAATTTCTTTTCAATTTAATTCTACCCAGCACTATAATCACGCTATCACTATTTTAACCCTGTCTCTTTTTTATTCTGATGTGCGCCTGTTATTTCTTACCATCATTTCTGCTTATGTCTCGATGTATACGTGTAACACTATTCTTACCCGTAGCCAGAGCACGTATCATCAAAATCGGTAGTTGCCTATTTTCCAAAAAAAGCAACTGCCTCTACAATTATCGTTGACCAGTGTGACCCCGTGTACAACAGTTTCATTAAGTTATGGGTCTAATTTTGTGTATGGTTTACATCCATCGTTTATAGAGACAAAATGAATTCGAACGTGATGCGAAAGCAAACTTCACGGCCAAACTACACTGTCAGGTACTGTACTATGAACCATGTGTGTGTGTGTCGACGCACGTAAGTTTTTGTGCCCAATCATTAGACGTGTTCAGCGTGTTCAGCGCTCAACAGAAGCCCAGTTCAGTTCTCTATCCCAGGCAGGAGGGAGGACAGTGAGGGCAGATTTCTTATGGACTTAAAGTGCTAACTTTCACTGAGTAATTAGAAAGTAGTGTCAATACACAACCCGAATGGCCCCGACAGCATTCAGACAGACCATGACAACAGCACGTGAGATTTTTACCTCACGACAACTTTTTTTTACGGAACAACTGTGTATGGATTCACATAATTTGTTTTCTATTCCCGTTCAGAACCAAATCGGTGAACCGAACAGTTTTCGGTATTCGTCAAGTGGAATACAATCCACAGACCGAGTGAAAAACACTCGCACGCACGCACGCACGCACACAAAATGTGTCCAGCTGTGAGCAACGTGAGGATGGTTTTGGACACTAATTTGGCCCAATTAGGAGTGACTGTGAAACTCGTTGTCAATTGGGGGCGAAAGATTCATTCGTCCAGAGGTGGACGGTTATGCACAGTTAAACTGCTAATTGCACAATAAACGAGTCTCAAATTAGGCCACGTTTCTTCCTTGGCTATCTTGCTCGATCCACACATAGGACACAGAAAGAAATGCACAATTTTTGCATCAAAAAGTAACTCAACAGATCGGAATGGAACCAACAATCCACGGCTATAAACAGATACTTCAGACTTCTAACATCATTAAATTGACAGCTTGCAGTGGTTTGGTGTTCGTCTATGACCTTCGTATTCTAATAAGTTGAGTGAAAACGATTTTATCTTTCAGCCACTACAAATTAGATAAACCTGCGGCTTCATTCAATATAAATATATATTCAATGTCGAATATCTGAAATAAGTAACAACAAAATCAAATTTTTGTTTGTTTGCAATTTGATTGTAAAATGTAATTTCATTTCAGTGATTTAGGATACGTGTTTAACAGATTCTGCGAGGGATTGTTGCGTCCATGCTAAAATTATGTTCCATATTGGTTTTCTTTTTTTTGGTGTGGAGCCAAATCGAACTGGTCCCCGTGATCAACATTCAAGTCAGATCGAAGTGCTTGCGACCGGAACAGCCGGAGCGTTGCTTATGGTTTTAAGAAAACGACTAAATGGAGAGCGCCAGTGAAAAACAGTCAGCAAATGGGGAGAAACACTGAAGACATCGAACATAGTGAACGGGAAAAGCACTAAAATTTACCGCTTGTTCTCACTATATTGTTTGATTATTCTTTACTCATCCAGAATACTGAGGGGGATCATATGTACATATTGTCTAGTAGATGGGCACTTGGAGCGACAGTATCAATGAAGTTTAAAAGTGAAGAATTCGCAAGGTAGCACCGAAGTTCACTGGATCTAATGACATCAATCAAGTATGACGCACAACTGACATCCTTCTTGATCTATAACTTAACGTGTGATTGATCAGTACGCAGTGAAAATGTTTAACGTGCCTCCAAATGATTGGTTGTTGTAGCACTACTCACACTGTTGTACTCATTTCCCCGGGTGACGACTCTGATTAGCGAACAATTCAACATACAAATGCTGTGCCGTAAGCAAACACAATGAATCATCATTATTATCATCACTTCTTACTCTGATTAGCCAATCAGTTGCGTGAGTGATTTTACTGAGCTTTAAGTGGTTCGAATATTTTGAGCATCTTTTGTGTGCGTGAGCCTCCTCCAACGAAGTGATCGCACAAAGACACCAAAGCAAGTCTCATCGGAAACTAATT